AAAAAAAAAAAAAAAAAAAAAAAAAAAAAAGGAAAAAGTAAAGAGGAACAGAAGAACATAATGATTTATATAAAAATCCAACAAAGGGATTAAAAAATATAAATCGAGCGAGTTAAAAATCAGCTTTTTTCTTACTTTCATCGAAACCTCATTACTTTCGAAAGAAATTGAAAAAATTCGGTAAACAAATACAATATTTTTGAAAGGACAAACAAAACACAAATATTTTACTGGAATCCTATAAATTTCTTTTGACAAACAGGTAAACTATACCACAAAATTTATGATCTTCACTCTAGAAGAACTAATGAACCGGTAATATTCCACCACAGAACCATAACAGTGCTTGAGACCTCCGCATCGTGACCACTCACCAAGCAGTATTCATCTGTACACAATATAATAAAACTAAAAAACAACAAACAGCAGTTTCAGCAGTTGCCATCCACTAAATCAGGACCCTAAGAAATCTATCATTATTATTCTACTTTACCACTTGCACAATATACAACACCTCATTAAAAGTCCCTTAATTGCCAATTTTAATACTTTAGGTGACACCTAAATCTGGACCGTCAAGATGTTAATTAGTTAAAGCGCCTAGCAAAGACTGCTCAATACGCAGTGCAAAATCCATTCCTGCAGTGTGAAAGTGTAGATAATCTCTTAAGCTCAAATCTGGATTATAGAAAAACAAAACATTGCTACGGAGGAATCTCAGCAAATTTGACACAGTTTATTTGCAACAAATGACCAAAAAGTCTAGCCATCGCCCAAAAAAAGCTGAAATCATTTGATAAGTTTTAACAAACTTTAGCACCACTCGATCCAACAAAGTCTTAAAGAAAAAACTGAATCACTGTTCGACAAGTTACCCCTATCTAAAAGCCTATTTAGGAACTACAATCTCCTAAAAAGAAATTTTATAAAGAAAGTTAAAGAAAAAACACCGTGCAAACAACAGCAACTACCTTTTTTTCTGGTTTACACTCTAAAAACCGACAAACAATCGATTGGTCCTACTCTTCGAAAAAATGTGGGGGAAAAACAAACAAAGATAGAAAATGCGACAAGTTGGTCAAAAAATGACTTAAACTACCACGAGCAAATGAATAATACAACAAAAATAGAAAAATGGATTTGGAGTCATCAGCAACTGTTATACAAAATAGCAACCGTTGCGTGTTAACAGCTTGTATATATGTCTGAAATTATTAAGCGCATCGGACAGGGCACACACAAGCAGACACAGACACACAGACAAACAGACACAAAAGCACGTACCTATACGTACACACATACATCCATAAACACGTACAAACACACATATATACGTACAAACATACATACATACATAACTACACATATACATACGGACACACACACCGCAAAACCCAGCAACAGATCTAAGCATCATAGCTATAAAAGTTTTCTCCAAAGCTTTGCCGAGCAATATTGGGCTGTTATTAACTTCCCTGATGTATTTTTGCTTTTCAAAATGAAGCGGAGATACAAAATGTTCGAGTTTTCTTCCACCTGACCTACCCATCTAATCTCTTGACGTTACTCGTATATTGTTGCTAGTTATTGGAATCAGCAATGGCTTATGGGTTGCTTGTTGTTCTCTAGTGGAAGTATATTCTTGTTCTTAGTCGTTCGTGTGGGACGTCTGTATGCATGTGACTCTCGGCTACTGACTTAACTACCACTTCTTCCCTTGGAAATTTTGAGTCGGATGGTCGTATTTAACACTTTTAGGATCCGCTAAGCCGTCGCTAGCAAATTATGGCTAAACATGGTTAATAAAATGAGAATATCTGGCTAGAAAGTATAGATTCTTTGACTTTGGGATATTGTAAGGGAAGAGTTGAGAGGTACGGGGTGGTCCAGTGATCATTCTTGATTCTTATGAGGGAAAAATTAATTTCCTAGGATCAGTTGCTAGTATCAGGAAATTTTCATTTCAAGTCAGTTTTCATTTTTAGTGACAGGGAGCTCGCTAGTCCCATAGCACCTAGCTGTTATGGCCAGTAATGGCTCGTGGGAAGTGCCTACTGGAAGCCTGCTGTGAACAGCTGCATTAAATTGGGAGGGTGGCAACTTTTGATAGTAAATATTTGTTTAGTAAGGTAATAATAGCAGGACTGATAATCGTGCCTAAAATATCCTAGTACCTAGTCTGTATATAAGCCATGTTGCCATTTTCGCACACTTTTACTGCTCCATATGTTGGCACTACATGTTGTAGTCCATTGGCTTTTTAACTGCTATCTCAGAACTTTATTAAATTTTGTAAGTTGGAAGAAAGTGGCTCTGCTCAAGAAAGAAACCGGAGAGAGGACTCTCAATAGTTAGATCTTTGCCAACTAGTTCTCCATTAGAGTTCTAAAGTGCTCCATCTTTGAGCGGTAGGGTCCTGTTTCAGGCCCTGTAACTTTTTTTGTTCGTACATGGAATAAGCTAATTTTAGACAAAGTTAATATTTTGGGAATTCAGAACTGCATTTTACGTATTATTTCTTTGCTGCCAGTATATGAAAATAGTGAATTTCAGGAGCATGCAATAAAAAAAGAAGACTTTTGAAAAAATGACATTTGTGCAAAGTTTTCTGCTCTACAAAAGTAATTACCGAGAGAGGCAGTTTAAGGGATCAAAAAATACAGTCATTTAACTGCGTCAAAGCAGACGATTTTAGTATACCTTGAGAATTATCGCTTACAAGCTGCTTCTTCTGCAACAGGATGGGAACGTCGTGAAAACAGTGCCTGGCCCTGGGACCGGCTTCTCTAGACCAAATTGTGTGAACTAGGAATATGAAGACAGTCATTACTTGTTGAATCATTCTCTCATCTCCTCTAATTGCTTTCTTTGTTGATATATCGTTTGGTGTTATATTTCTAATATTTTCACCTTGCTTTAAGCTGTCTAAACCATAACTTTTCAATAAATTTGAACTCTGCTCTCGGCACTCACTTTAACAGGTGAAAAATTCATACTTCAAAAGCCATAACTGTTTCTTTGTTTGAAGCAGTTAGAAAACGGGTTTTTATTGGAAGATAAATAAATGTTTTGGTCATGATGTGCACGCAGTATTGTTAAATAAATTTTAAGTCTATTTGTAATGGGTAGTAAAGGAACTTATAAAGGAACTTATCAACTTGTCTGGACGATTAAGTCAGCATTTTACAAGTGTTGCTCTTTTTAACAGCTTTCTTTCTTGTAATTATTAATGTACCCTAGCGAAGGTTGTTGGCGGAAATTCATATATTGACAGGACAGCAGATCGAAAGGCAAATTTTTAGATTGACATTTTAAATGGTGACCATTTTGCATGGCCATATCTCGAACTCTGTGATACTAGTTATCATTTGTCAAGTATTTTTTTTTCACTTGTTTTTTTTTTTTTTTTCCATAATAAGTATGCTATTGTGAGTTATGCCCTGCTACAATTCGTTAACATCGTCTCAGACAACAGTAACTTGAAAACACAAACTGTAATATATCACACGCTGTGGTCTCTTAACTGTAGACTTCAAAGAATTTAGCAGGTATTTAGTGGTGCTTTTTATCTGTTTGGCCAAAATCGCAAGTATACCATTGTACAGTACATTCGGTATGCTATTAATACAAAAAAATTTTGAGGTTTTATGTTAATGAATTTATGAAGGTAGCCGTATATTACAGAAGTGGCCGAAAAAGCCCAGATGCGATATAAAACTATGGAGAGCTACTACTGAAAATATCTATTTAAAATGCGCCAATAAGCAGCAAAAAAAATATTCCATTACGTTTGCTTGATGGAATTTGATTTGCTCTAGAATTAGCTTACGATCTTGGCTGTGGTATCGTAAAGTTATCTATTCAACTAGATTTGCATTAATATATATATATATATATATATATATATATATATATTGCTATTTTCCGTTGGAAAGTGCATGAGCCAGGCACATTGTGGCTATAATTGGGGCATTTGGTCTCAACCAAATTGTTCGTAAAAGTTTGTTCTATAAACATCTCTTATCCTTCAGCGCGTAGATGACTGGCTGAGGTAAAAAAAGAAGCAGAAATAAATCAGTGGAAAGTTAGGTCATATCAAAAGAATGTACAGTGTCCTTAGTTAATAGTCAGCATTTGTTAGTATGAATACTGAACAGTCTGCATAATATTTGCTCACCTTATCAGTTGTTTGATTCTGCCACCTAAAACTGTATTTTATTCTGCCATTACTCTACCAGTTCATCCTCAAGCAGTTTTTAAGCAGGAGTTTGGTCTCCGATTTTTATCTGCAATTTTTTGCAACTTTATCTTTCTGTGATAGTGACTTTATGGTTAAATAATAACTGTAATATATTTCTTTCTTTTGTTATTCTTGCTAGTATATCTTTAAAATTTGACCTGAGCAAAAAAAGGAGATTGGGCTTCAGTTTGTTACGAATAAATGCTTGTTTCATGCGTTTAATTGTATAGGTCTGTAGCAATTACATTTCTTCACATGTTCGCTTCATTTCAATTATTAAATTCATGAAATAACATGTGAAAATGTTTAACATACATCGTTTTTAAACTGTTCATGCCTTTGACTTTGAATAATTATTTTAAAATTTACTAGAATTCCTAATACATGTCATCAAGTAACTATAATGTGCGGCAAGAAATTTCTATTACTACAGCTAAAACTTTTCTAACCTTTGTTTTAGAAACTCCAGCACGAGTCGAAAATTTGTATTGCACGTTAAGGTGGCTCCATTATCCCTCTATCACCTTATTCTCTTTACTCCCTCTGAATTTAGTTTTTGGAGGAAGCCTCGCTCTGTAGGAATGATTCTCCCTTTCTCACTTTGTAAGCAATTTTATGTTTGCCATTTCTCTAAAGTTCCAGCTCCTCTGCACATCGCAGAGAAAGAAATGACTGAACAAGCAATGAGGCAACAAAAAATTCTCCAGATTATATATCATCATTTATATTTACGGCTGATATTTCCAATTTTTCATGAAACAACTACTTTCATATTTTATTGTGGCGGACTATAATGTTAGTCTTTACTATTTGATCACAGTTAAGCCTATGAAATAGCTCCTATGTTAAGGGGTCGAAAAAAATATATATATAAATTAATAAAATAGAATAGAAGGAAAAACGCGATAAATAAGAGTGGCTTGAAAAACACTTACCACTATGTTGTATTTGCGGATCCCTTCCCTATTGTGCATATAGATTCTAAACTTCGCTTCTGAGAGTTAATAATTTGCACTTCTTTCCCTTCCTTAAAAGTTAGTTCTTTTGATTATTGAGGTAGGTTACAATTCAAACATAGTTAACATGACAGCCCTTGTACTCACTCATTATTTAACGCTAAGTCTTCTGTTAGACAAGCTCCGGACCTGATCTTGCAGCAGGGCTTAGGCTCGCTGATGAAATATTATTGATTGGATTCCATACGCTTCCAAACTTTGCGTAATTTCACTATTTACTGGTTAGTAGCTTCCAAGTATATCAATTAGATTGAGCTTTTTCAGACATAAATGAGGTCGTCATTGGTTTGGGCACATTATGCTGAACAAAATAGTCGAGATGCTAAGTCATAACTGCAGAAGGAACTTATTTCCACCTTACTTTTTTCATTTCCAACTTTTGAGACTAGTTAACTTGCTTTTAACAAACAAAAAATTTAATTTATCGTCTGCTTTTTACGCGACTTTGCTTCATTTTTACTTGAAAATTATGAACTGTCTGGTGATTCATTGGACAATTTATACTCTAGCAAAGTAAAACTACTGCGGAACTAGAGTGGGTCACTTGGCTGCCCTTTGTGAGTTTACTTCTTACTAACCATTACTAGAGCTGAAACCCGGGCACTTTGCATTCTGCACTGTGAGAAAAGCATCTGCTTAAGCGAGGACGTTTTGATGCTTACAACTTCTTGCACAGCGGAAGGTAATGAGATGTGCTTTCCTTAGTTTTCAAAAAAAAAAATGCCTCCCCACGCTTTCAAGCAGAGGTTGTTTCCTACCCAATTCGACACATGAAGAATAACGGCTTTTAAGCAGTCATTTCCACAAAAGCTGCTTATTCTTCCTCCAAAAATACTGTTCTTTTACACTAGCTCTTCTATTAGGGCAGTCGACTGTTTGCATTAAATTAGTCTCTGAAAAATTATCAGTGGAAAATTAAAGTTATCAAATGGTAACTTTAGAAAAATGATGATCTCGTCAGAATCAATAAGCGAAAATGATGACGGATCTTCGGCAGGAATAGTACGTAAGCGACGGTGCAGCAAAAACTCGTTAAATAGCTCCACAAGCAAGGAATGTAAGGTAAAAGAAGCAGAATTATAATTTTTTGAACTTTTTTGACATGTGTCAATGACAGCTCTACAGGCCTAATTTAGTTTGATAGCTGCAACATTCAAGGGTTCTACTAAAAGGCTCATAGTTCTATCCTGAGAAAGTCGAGTATAAAACTTCAGTAAGTAGAGAAAGAGCTGAGAGGAAAATAAGGTTTTTTAAAAAGCTTTATGAGAAAAAGCGTATGTACAGGGACATATAACCTTACCATTGCTGCAGGTATTGATCCAAGTTTTTGAAATTAGACCTTATCGATAAAAGACGAAACACTTCTTTGCTTGACCACAGATTTTCCAAAACATGACTTGAAGGGAGTTTTCATGAATTGAATTGTAACAGCGGCTTTTCTGCAAGTCAATTAAGACTTTTAATTACTTTGATTTCAAGCACAGTGAAACAGATAAAGTAAAATCGGTTACCACCAGAGTGTTAAATTTTAAAGGCCAAGCGGGTGGTGCGAAACTCGACAGCATCATTTTCAACGCATTTTCCAAACGAATCAGATAAAATTTACCAAGAAATTAACGTCCGACCGTAGATGTCTCAAATGCATCTCTTTATGGTGCGTTTGTTTACAACGCTGTCTGCTACTGTTTCACAATAAACTCCTTTGCTTCGAAGGTCTCATTCGCTAAGTCTTAGGCAGCTTATTCTCTACGTTGTAAGCAAAATCAGGAATGTACTACCCTGCAAGATGAACAGTAGGAATCTTGAGATTTTTGGAATTTAAGAGTTCCAAGATTAATAAAAGTGAAACTCAACCAGAGAAAAACCGACAGAATTTTAGCACTTTTAACTCTCAGAAAATGCAAAATAAACCATTTTCTTTGTCATTTTCACTGTTTTTCAGCAGTTACCAAGTTACATTCCCAAACAGTTTAAGGTTTGTGGTGATCGAGCAGTCGGATATAATTTTTCTGTAATAACTTGCGAGTCATGCAAAGCGTTCTTTCGCCGAAACGCCAATCGCGAAAAAGTATGTTACCATTTCAGTGCAGAAATACTGTGAATAATATGTAATAACATAGAAGAAAATTGGGATTTATAAAGCATTTTTGCAAGGAATATTTTCATTTGTAGGATTTACCCAGGTGCCCTTTTGAAAACAAGTGCCAAATCACTGTAGTTTCAAGACGTTTTTGTCAGCTGTGTCGCCTTAAAAAATGTATTCAGGTAAGAAATAGCATAAAATACCTAAAACGGTCTGAAAGCTTCACTTATTATTTTTTCCTATACGTCGACAGTAATGCTCATTACTCGCACCGTTTTATTCTAGTCATCTCAATGTCTAGAGTTTATTCAAAAACCCTAACTCAAATCCCTTCAAACTCTTCATTCTAAAAGTAGGTTATTTTGTTATAAAAGGTGCTCTGAGAATTTTCAAAAAGAGTAGTGCCCTTCCTTTTACTTAGAAGCAGATGACGACAAGAATAGCAACTTCCTATTGACTTCCTCTTATTATTCTCCCTTTTACTCTTTTGAACAGTGCGGTAATTCTATTTTTGAGGTTCCTCTTATAAAAAGTTATCCACCATCGATGAGAACAGAACACAGCTTACTGTCCACAAATTCCATTCTAAAAATTTGTAAACTGGAAATGCAAGGGAATACAAGTTGTTAGTTTATTACGTGAAATTTTTGTTTTTCTCTGAGGAGAAACTATGAAGAAGATTACGCAGGTTGGCATGAAGCAAGAGTGGATTATGAATGAAAGTTACCGAAGAAAAAAAAAGCCTCGTATAACTTCACTACCAGAGAAATCTGACGAGTTAAACAGAATGTTAGAAGAGATCGGAGATAATGACGTCACTGTCTCAAAAGATATGCTCGTAAAGCTTGTCCGTAAATCGACGCTTTCTTTGTACGACTTTGTTTTTTATAACAAAGCAGACCCTACGCTTAAACTGTTTATGTAATAAGTAAAAAAAATCTTACTAACTGTAAGTTAGTCCTTATCATTCATCTATCGATCAAAATGATTCTTACGAGAACTTGCAAAGCTGTTAAACTGTGTCATTCTGTGAATATTTAGCAGACCACAAAGTTGCCAGTGCAAATGTACTTGTGGATTTTACCCTCCTGACACTCCACTGGCCGCTTTGGTACCAGCGACAGTTGCACTGCCGTTAGAGCTATCGCAACCACCAACTGTGACAAACGTTGTGTGTGAGACTAGAAATCAGCCTATCTCGATAAGTGCTGCAAACACTGTTGCGTCTTCAGAATGTCGCCTCCAGCAAGATTACATCCCTTGGTATGCCACTGATGATTCATTTAACTGCCATAAACTACCAACTGAAAAATATATACCTGTGAATGATTAAAATACATAGAGAGTGGTCCTGGTTTTTGGTTTTTAAAATTTTTCGGTCGATCCTTTGATTTTTTTAAAATTTTTGTTAACTTGTAGGGCTGGACATTTGTTAGCAAAATCAAAAGACCTTATCTCAAAACGTTTTTCGGTGGCAAAGTTGGACCTTTCTAAAGAGCGAAAACGACATGATCTTTTTCAAAAAATAGCCATGGTTAAAGACTTATAATTCTGTATATTCACCAGTGAAATTTAAAGTCTTTATTCCATTCAAAAGTTTGTTTTTTCAGTCCACGTGAAAGCTCATACACTCAGAAAAGCATGTAAAGCACCTATATTAACAAGTAGTTTAAAAGATAAGAATGGAAGGAAAAATCAACCCTAAGTTTTCAGAAAAAGTATAATTTTTAAACAATAAATTTTTGTGAAAGATATTGAGATTACAAGGTGGTCTTGCTAGTCTTGATGGGTTTAGCAAGATTGTGGATTGTGCTGCAAAAAAATATTTGCGTAACGCAACATGTCTACGCTTTTGCAACTGAAATCTTCGCGATTTCTACCAAAGTGCTGCCATACCAAAAATGCTCAAGTTCGGAGGATTTATTAAAAGATATGTCGTACAAAATTTTTTGCCGGTGGTTAATTCAAATAGAATTACCAAAGAAAAATAATAATTGTTGTTTCAACTTGTATCAGTTTAGTTTTCATTGGATTCTTCTCATTATTTGAAACAGTGGTTTTCGCTGGTAGCTAATCTTGTTTGCTGTGATCCCATCCTCAGCAGTACAAAACAGTGGAAATTTTGTGTGCCAGCAACAGGCAAAATTATGAGAAACACAGCACTAAAAGGCTTAAACAGCATATAAAGAATTTCGTTCTTCTTTTTGAAGTAGATCGGATCTTGATCCGTTTATAGCTACGCTCTGTTGCTGCCACGCGGGTCTTTTATATTTTATAATTTTGTTTCAGGAATACGGACAGGGGTGAGCATAGAAACCTCAAATAGAAAACCTGGGTAATTAAACCCAGTGACAACATATTCAAGTAAACATTAAAAAGGGTTATAAATCAAAGCATTAAGGAATACGAACAAAAATAAAGCATTAAAACACCATCAAATCACGATTAGAACTGTAACGTAGAAATTGTTAGTCTGAATCGTTCTCCCTCCTCTCGCGGCCTGGGTTATATACCTGCGCCTTCTTGATCTAGGCGGGGTTGAATTCCCTCAGATCTCACCCCGCCAATCCCTTCTTGTCCCCCAGGTCGTCCTAGCTGAGAGGTTTTAATCCTCTGACTCCCAGGCTTTGGGAGCCTTGGCCAATAGTATTTTTTTGCTCCTCCCGGGCTTGGGAGTGTTCACTGGCGGCGACACAGTACAGAGCTTCCTTCTTACGGTCGTTAGCAGTTAAAATTTGGTCTGAAAGTGCCTTCTTAGACTAGCTCTCTCTCCCGATCCTTCTAACGTGCTTCCTGTGCTCTATGAGGTGTTATGAAGAAATGCCACTTTGCTGTGATTCTTAAGAAAATGAGACTCGGAAAGCTCTTCCATCTTCTGAACCTTCCTCAAAAAAAGGCAATTTTCTTCAAATGGCTTCTTCTCTCCAGAAAGCCTAAAGAGTTGTGATGGAACAAATGTATAGCTACCGTGGCCTGTTTACAGCCAGGCGCAGGAACAAGGCCGCAGAAAGCAAAAAGAGTCGCAAAACCCTCTTTCTCCTCTTGGAACTTTTCAAGACCTAAGAGACGTCCTTGATAGCGTTGACGTAATATAACCTCTGCTGTAAGGGACAGTTAGGAGCGTGAGGCGCTTTCTAGCCTAGAGTACCAAACTATGCCTTTTGAGAGCTGTACTAAACACATTTAATCATAACCTTTGTGTGGGAACGCACGGAAATGAGCTGACGACCACTGCGATACCCAAATGATGGACGAAAGGAATGTTACACCAAAGGTCACATCTGCTTCCTATGTAATGCGTGCGTTCTAACAACGCTTTACCTTTTTTAATGCGATATACTAGGCATAAGGTTTCTAGGAGCAAGCGATTGACATTTTGCGCGAAAAAAGCTTCTTCTGGTAACGGTTATTCTTGTTGACCATGGAGTGATAAACCTCTGCAGCGACGATGTGTGCGCCGATTGTTTTAACGGTCCCTTCCAAAGACAGTCCCTAGCTGCCACAGTTAGACGAGTACCTAAGAACCACCTGCCCAGCCGATAAACGTGAAGATACAGCATAATGAAAAGAATACCGAGAAATGTCTTCTTGCCGACCCAATACGCTTAGAGCGCCAGGATGAACAAACCGACAGACAAGATAGCGCAGATGATGTCAAATAACACGGTTCACGAAAATAAAATTTCCCTATGCTAGAAATGAGAATTAATACAGCTGCCGAAGGCGTGCGTTACTGGAAAAAAAAAGAACAACTCAAAGTTCAAAATACTCAAGCAGAGTCAAAGTTCTGTCCAAGACTGTCGCTTGAACCGGAAATACGAAACTGACTCGAATTGAGTTTAAGCTCTAAGAATATAAATATAAATATAAATATAAATATAAATATAA